GCGACAATCCTGTGACATCCTTCTCAAGCGGCTGCAGCCGAAAGCCGAGCGTTTTTCCCAGTGAAAAGTACTCATTCACATTCGACACTTCGAAGGTACCGCAACTGCCAGAAATTGCTCCCGACTTGATCCAGCTTCTCGAGGAACAATCGCTAGTACGCTTCAGCGATGAGGCGGCCGTGCGACACCTGCAAATGGCCATATCCTACGCGAACGTACTGCAGCTAGTAAACACGGACGGTGTGCAGCCGATGCACACGGTGCTTGAAGACGAATCGCTGTTTCTTCAGGCCGATGTTGACGAAACAACTAGGAGTCAAGAAATCCTGGCGAATGCGCGTAAAACGGCTGAAGGCTATTTCGTGGCACCGCCTGGCAACGTTCCGTTGGGGGCAAGAAACGATCCGCTGGATTTCAAAGAAATAAAACGACTGATGAAAGCAAAGTTTTAAGTATTTTTCTGCGGCACTGTATTTCAACTGAAATTCTTGAATGCAAATGGGTTACGGATGCCATAAGCTCTATTGTTTTAGAGCCCTGCTAAAGAATAAACCCATATGAAGTTGGTCAGTTTCGTTTGCTTGCATTGTTAAAGTGTACCAGTGTTTTGATGCTTCGAATTGACTTTTAGCACGTTAAAATATGAGGTGTGCGAGGTATATTCTTAAGTCTAAGCCCCTAATTTTATTTTTCCATATACCTCTAAGTTCTTTCATAGCTACAATGGCCTATCGCAACGATTTTCAAAAATTTGCCCAAACTCCGTGATCTGCAAGACTTCATACATAAGAGATATACGTCAAGGGACTGGCTGACTAAACAAAGATAAATCGCATATTTTATTGTATTGGCAAGAATTATCTGTGGAGAAGAGTCTAAAGGTTAACGAGATAGGCGATTTCTTTGCGGTAGCATCTAATTATCTAATTTTGCATTTCTTGCTTTATCCCCACAAAACTATGTTGGAGCAGTCGTAGTGACTGTCTAAGTGTTCAGTCACTCAATCGTTATACGAAAGATACAAATGACAGTTTTACCTGACATTAGTTGCTAACTTACATCGTTTAAATATCAGAACAGAAAGTTAGAAAATCAGTGCAGTCTATGAACCTGCGGATCTGTTATAGTGTCAAGCTACTGACCATTACC